AAACAGGTTCCACAATGTTGAGCTCTGATTGGCTGGTTACAGTTTAGTCACCTGATTATTGTTAACGGTCTTTTTATTCAGGGTGGAGTATGAGGATTATCAGGAGTCTCTGCTCAGAGCCCTGCAGCAGAATGTTGGACCTCAAACACAGATGGTTAGTAACACGCACACATGTTCTCAGTGTTTTACACACATACAGAGATTATACTCATGCAGGCCATCCATGTATATTTATGTCTGCCCACTTATGTATTTGCCCATCATTTTTTGATCTGTATATAATAACCTTCTGTAAGAGAGACGTCTACTGATACGACCCTAACCCTGTGCACAGATTGAGGTGGGACAATTTATATTAAAACTTCTTGTGCAGACTTTTTAATATTTTTCTGCAGCTGCCGTTGTCCTTCTTTTAGTTTTAGATGATGGTTGCAATACGTGTCATCAGCATCCACATACGGATCACACTGTATCGAGTGAAACATTTAAAACGCAGCAGCTAGCGTTTGACGGGGGGGGGGGGTGACCCCTTCAATTACGTTACAAACTCCAAACAAAACTTTATCTGTGAATAATAATTTTGCCTTAATCCACAAAAAGTAGCGTGTCTTTCAATTCAGCTTTGACAATGTTATATACTGAATATACCGGTAAGCAGACTGGCTGTTATTGTAAGTGTATCTCTGGCAGCTCCTGCAGCGCATTGTAAGTGAAACAGGTAGCGTTATTGAGTGTTTAGCTCTGATTCACGGTCTTGAGTAGAGAAGTTCACATACTGCAGCAGGCTGATGTTATGATCGTTAAGTTACTGATTGTTGATAAAAGCAGACACGGTGAAAAAGTTAATCATCTGGCTATCCAGCGCGAGCCGCATGTGTCAACAGATGAAAGGGGAGATGGCTGGTGGAAGCCAGAGATGTTGTATTTAAATGTATTTTCTGCTTGTTCACCAGTTGTTTGATATTTTACACATGCATTCAGAGAGGATTTCAATTGCAATTTTTGGTCTTTTTCTGCCGCTTGCCATTTTCATTGGGCACTTGGTACAACCCCTTTTGGGGGGGGGGGGTGCCAAAACTTCTCTATGTAGGAAAAACTCTGTTTAAGAGTGCAGAGGTGATGGTGTGTTCATTTCACTTCCTTGACATTCTCTCACTCACACACACACACACATTACATTTGTTTGTGAAGTACACAAAAAAAGAAAGCACAATTTAAAATATAAACAAACCCAATTCCAGGGATTAAAGTTCTCCGTCGCTACGACGGATTTCTGTTAATTTCACAATTGTAATATTTTTATTAAGCGTCAATCAGACAAAAAAAAAGTCGAGCAGAATGGGGTATATAAAATAACCACTATGAATTAGGAACTCCACTGCCATGGTACAGCATCACTCTGTGGGCTACCTTATGGTATTATGTGTGTGTACAAGTATGGTTACAAGTAAGTTACTCTTGGCTGTAAGATCTCTTGTTTACTGTGGTTGAACTTGAAAGTCTGCGTTGTAACCATGACAACATGTTATGTATTACGAGTGTTGATTGTAAATCACAAATTTGACATGAGGGTCTCACTGCCTTGCTAACTAAGCACTCTTGTTTTTGTAAGGTTGTGGTGGTCCTCCCCAGCAACAGGAAGGACAAGTATGACACTGTCAAGAAGTATCTTTGTGTGGAGTGCCCCATTCCCAGCCAGTGTGTGGTTACCCGTACTATCAGCAAGCCTCAGGCGCTCATGACTGTGGCCACCAAGATCGTACTGCAGATGGCATGCAAGATGGGAGGAGAGCTGTGGAGTGTGGAAATCCCGTAAGTCCTTTTCACATTCAGTTATTTGTACGTTGAAGAAAGGAGAAGATAAGGTGTTGTAGCAAGCTTTAAGATGATTTATAAAAGTGGATCAAGAAAGATTTTTTTTTTTTTAAACAATTGTGGGGTCTGAATGTGGGCTCTACTGCTTAATTATACTGTGTTTTAAAGTGGCTAAATGGCCTAAAACTCCACTGAACTTTCTTTACATAGCACTCGTACATAAAGACATGAAGCCCAAAGTGCTTCACAAAAGAACAGAAAAAGATAAAGACACAAATGAATTAAAATAAATAACTCAAATCAATATAGTAAAAAAAACACATCAGTGATTAATATCAAAGTAAAAATTTGGCTAAGACGAAATAATAACTTGAGATAAAAATCAATGCTAAAAAAAACCTGAAAAGGCTGTACAGGTACTCCTGATGAAAGTCATGAGGTAGAGGATTGGCTAGCTCTGTCCTGTTAATTTCAATACTTGACACTGAATCTGTGTCTGAAAGCAGATAACCGACTGAAAGATGCTTACTAAGCATTACCGAAGCTTTGATGAGAAAGCATTCAAAGGTTCCACGATAGTTAAAAAAACAAAAAAAAAAAACTGGTTCATAAACAGGGAAGTAGATGTTTTTTTGTGACTGAACTGAACTACAACACTGGTTTGCTACCTTGTCCCCGCTAATTGTGCAGCTTAAGCAGCTGATGATTGTGGGCATCGACTGCTACCACGACATTTCTGCGGGGAAACGGTCCATTGGCGCTCTGGTGGCCAGCCTGAACAACAGCATGAGCAGGTCAGTTTCTACAGCAGACCATAAGCTGTGTTGTAAGATTGTGTGACCTTACATTTAATTTGTTGTACTGGAGCACTGGATCAAACTGTCTTTTATATTTTTTTTTAACATCTCTGTAAAGGTGGTACTCAAAGTGTGTGTTGCAGCACAAAGGTCAGGAAATCATGGATGGACTGAAGATGGCCTTATCTGGCAAGTCACCCTTTTAATGTGTTGTGCTACGCAATTTCAATGTCCATGTGTCAATTCTCCCAAACACTAGCAGCATAACTGTCATGACTTTATTTTTTCCAGGTGCCCTCAAAGACTATCTTAAGTTCAACAACTGCCTGCCTTCACGCATCATTGTGTACAGAGATGGAGTGGGTGACGGCCAGCTTCACAGTGTGGTCAACTACGAGGTCTCACAGATCTTGGAGTCCATCAAGTCCATGGGGCACGACTACCTGTGAGTCATTCATGAATGCTGCTGCACTGAGAATCAGTAACCTGTATTAAACACCTCAAATGTGGGCCTCTGTGTACTTCTTCCACATTAGTTGCCTTGTGCAGAAGCTCATTCACTAAAGCCTGTACTGTCAGTGTTTGACACAGCCTCTTCATCTGCTTGTTGTAGGCCCAAGCTGAGTGTGGTGGTGGTGAAGAAGCGCATCAGCACGAGGTTCTTTTCCCACACTAACGGCAAGGTGGACAACCCTCCCCCAGGCACCGTCGTCGACTCAGATGTCACCCGCCCCGAGTGGTACGTGTTTTAGGACTCCTTCAATTCATTGATTTATTCAGAAGTTGTGATATGATCAGACAGTCATGCTCTCATCTCATAAAAGGATTTTTATAATGACCTGTAATCAGCTTCGTCACCAGTCTTCAAATACTAACAGATAAGAACTCACTGTATCTGTCTACTGGACTGCACTGGGTCTCTGAATGTTTCAGATGGATTTTGAACTTTTATTTTAAATTGCAACATCATGACTAAAACTGTTGAGCTCCCTCCTTTAGGACCTGGGATTAGTTTTTATCTTTTTAATGAGTCCTGTCACTTTAATTTAAACTGTTCTTGGTAAACTCTGTGGGTTTTTTAGGTTTTGTGTTCTTATTTGACTCAAAGTAAAACACAAGAATCAATTGACGGTTTATCTGTTTAGTAAAACAATTTGCAAGTTTTAAAAAGTGCTGTACAGTACGTAAGTTTATTAATATGTGTCGTGAGAGACGATTTGTGTTGATTTGACTTTTTATAATATGAACTATGACTTGTCCTCCAGGTATGACTTCTACATTGTAAGCCAGGCTGTCCAAAGTGGGAGTGTCTCCCCAACCCACTACAATGTGGTGTACGACACCAGTGGACTGAAGCCTGATCACATGCAGAGGCTCACCTACAAGCTGTGCCACATGTATTACAACTGGCAGGTAGGCTGGCCAATAAATCAGCATATGAGCCCAGATTAAAATCTTGCAACTGTGAAATTGCTTAACTGTTACTTGCAGAAAATATCTTCAAGAATAACTGAGGCTACTTCTTTTAGTCCAATTAAAATATTTCTAAAATACTTGATTTGTTCTGAAGGGGATCATCAGAGTGCCCGCTCCCTGCCAGTATGCCCACAAGTTGGCGTTCCTTGTAGGCCAGAGCATCCACAAAGAGCCCAGTGCCAAACTGGATGACCTGCTCTTCTACCTGTAAGGAAGGAAAGACGACCTGTTGGGCTCTGACTCGTCAGTTACCTTGCAAAGAAGTGTACCTGGTATGTAAGCCTTTGTTGTAAAAGCTTTTCTTAGTTTGAATGAATATAAGTTGTGTTTTGTAGATGCTAAGAGTTTGTTTGAATCTAGCATCACATCTGTGTATGAAGGTATGCAGTTTCAGGTTACTAATATTGAAGTTAAGTAAAGAAAATGATCTATGAACCCTGTTCCCTTTATGGAAAGAGATTTGTGTTTTCTGGGCTAAATGGATGAGTATGTTCAGAGTAAAATAGAGTATCTTGATCTGTTACTAAAACAACACTGAAATGAGAGATAGATTTGACACTAAATGTTTTAAGTGTTTTCATGTATAACTTTGTACCAATAAGTTATTTGAGTTTGTTTTGGATAACAAATAAAAAATGCACTTTTTGTAGACAAACTGAACACATTGTCAGATTACACAAGAGAGCCTTTGTTAAAAGACTTGACTGCAGTTTCTGTCCTCCATGGTGAGGAGTAAAATATGTTTTACATTTTTGTTAGTAGTGAGGCTCATGAGGGTCAGTATTAAGATCCTGCTGTTCCTGTACTGCATTGAGTTCAAATAAAACGTGTTGTACCACATGATGAATCGTGTTGTGAATTCAATCACGCATAAAACATTACAAAATATCAAATTTATTTAGATTTCTTTCTTCTTTTTTTTTTTATAAAAGATTGCACATGCACACTCACACAATAATTGTTTTTTTAACCATCAATATAGGCTTGATAATTCTTATCATAAAGCTAGCACACAACTGCAGACTTTGAAACAATATGGTCTTCAAGACACCATGGGGAAAGCTTGCACTGTTTGATTATAAAGTTAAATGTACAAAAAAGGCAGTTTGAAAATCAAGTACAAACATTTAAAAACAATTTTAGAAATGGACAAAGTACAAAAAGAGCAACAGTCACTCAAAATGAATCGAAGCAATGTCTGAAGACATGGTCCAGAAAGAGGAAAAGATGTACATCGGTTTATCGCAGGTTTTCATGGCTGTTGGCCGACAATTGTACAGAAAGTATCAGAATGTTTTGCATACATTCTTTTTTGGCAGTTTCAGTTCAACTCGTGTAGAAAAAATAGGCTAGATTTTGAGTTTGTATTAACATGAGGATGAAATGAAAGATGGGAGGAAATAAAGGTGGACCGTTTCATTTCACGCACAAAGACGAACATCTGCACAATCCTTTTGGACAGTTTTGAAAATACATTGGCTTTCAATTCATCATACATTCACTACTCTACATTAAGGTGTAGATATATATTTATATATCGATATACAGTACTTTGAATCCTGCACCAACATCACTCGGGACACACTGAACAGGCATCACTGACAGATTGGCTTGAGTCAACATGTTTCTGATTTCTAGATTTAGGGTCAGACAGGTAGGGGGCAGCGTAGAGGTAGCCTTGTGTCTCTTAATTTCTGTGGAAACAGTTATTAACCTTTTATTGTTCTAGTGAAGCCCGACAGTGTTGCATGTTATGAATCATATGCAGTACAATAGGAGGACTCCCATTTGCTGATGCTTATCTAACACAGAAGCTGATTGTTTTTTGTAGTAGTTTCCTCACGAGAGTAGTCACTTTAAATCAGATGTGCATCAGTGCGGCAGCAGAAACAGTTAAATAAAAAATAAAACCTTTAAATATTTTGCCCCTTTCTTTTCTAAGATACAAAAAATAATTTCTTTTTTTGGGCTTAACTACTGATGATGGTTGCTGGACGGTTGTATGTAAGCTCTGATCTTCAGGAGATCACGACAGTCACACAGTATGCTAACAGCTCTTGTTTTTTTGAACACACAGAATGAATAACAAGCATGAAACTGCACGCTCTACTGGACAAAGGACTAACCATTGTGCGATAGTAAGGCAAAAACATGGAGGTTGGATCTACGAGGCATTTCCATTCAGGCTGATTTGACTGCAGAGACCCTGTGGTAGGCGCAGCATGTGCTTGTTTTTGGAGGCGTCTGACATGTACGAGGGGGAACACTTGGCTCTCTCACAGTTGTTAAAATAGGGCAGAGGAGTAGGAGTCGATTCTTCTGATTTGTCACAGTATACTGCACAGCGAGTCAGCGGCGCTGTATGAAAGTACTGCATGCACCAAGTTTCATTTTGCACGCTCTCAGGGGGGGTCAGGAGGGAATGTGCTGAAGTAAAAGCATGCAAACCTCACCTAAAAAAAAAAAAAATCTAACCAGCTGACACGTCCGTCTCGTTCTTCTGTTACTAAATGGACTCAAATGTTAAATTGAGCCCTCAGTATTTGAAAGACATTCTGAGTTTCACAGAGACACTGGTCAGACTCGTGGTGTTTTAAGCAACTGCAAAAAGGAGAATGCCGAGAGCCCTGTCTTTGACTACAGCCGAACTTCATCAGCCAAGAGACCTGGAGGTAAGATACTCATCTGCTGACAACATGAGGTCTCAGGATAATAATATGAAATGTGTAATTGAAAATATGTTGTTGATACTGTTAACAAAATACAAATACTCTAGTATACAACAGATGTACAAGAATAAATGCCAACTGTCCTCTGTTAGAATTTCTTTTCTTTTTTTTTTCACTTTGTTGGATGACACTCGATCATTATTTTACAGTGCCCAGTCTTTCCAATAGTTTCTTCCTTTTTGGAGAGCAGTCCCCTTCTCTGTTTGGAGGAGTACATGTCCAGTGGGACCTGATGGGGCTGCGGGGCCCCACGGTGGCAGGGCCTGAGCCAGCGACGTGTGGACGCACTGTGGGAGAGGGTGCTCCTCTGCGCGGAGACGATTTTTCCAGTGGAACCTAATGGGAGACCCGTAAGGGACAGTTGAGGGTGTTAAAAAGCCAGCCGTCTGTCACACCTCAGTCATTACTCCCCTCCTTCTCTTTTAGTCCTTTCTGTCTCTGTAGGGCCACCATAGCTCTGAACTCTACCTCCCTGGATGTTGTCCTGTGCATAGAATCCCCCCCCCCTCCTCTCCCCTCCCCTCCTGTAATGTAGATTTATTTTTTTAACAAGCTGCTATGAATAAGCTACAACGGCACACACAGTTAAAGCATGACATCGACTCACTTCCACATCAATGAAAGGTGACAACATCTTCAAAGGCGGGGGGAGGGGGGGACAGTTTCTCTCACATCAATGGATACATTTGCTTTGGGACTAATTTATATCACAACCACATTCCTTTCTCTCATATAAATTGGATATGGATTGCACTGGTACAACTGGGTTACAGAGAAACTACCAGTCACTACTCCTTTTCTGTAATCATGAGCTAAAAGGCTTCTTTATATTGCACTTTGGACAGAGTGTGTATTTATACATGAATTCATTATGTGAGACTCAGTACACCAGAACGTGAATCATATCTGAACCATTCTGCTATGTTTGGTATATTTCATTCTATGGAGTTTAAAGCGAGATGTTTATTCTTAAAGTACAAATAAAGGGGTTTGTTCAACTTGGGAATAAAATGTCTAATTCTTAAGAAACAGAACATTTCTCAGTTTCATTCTCAGACTGTTGATAAGAATTAGAGATAGCTTCTGGTTTCAGAAGTGAAGCCAATGTAGAAGTTCCTCAAACCTGCTGTTTCTTCTCATGACCAGCAGGGGGCAACTGCACTGCCTGTAATACGTTCAATTGTATGAAACCACATGTGAAAATGACCATTCCCAAGTGGTTTCATACAGTTTTGAACATATTGCAAGCAGTGCAGTCGCCGCCACTTCTGGGTGTGGTTAACTGTGATTGACAGATCTCTTATCACGGCGACCTGTCAACCAAGATAGAGAAAACATTTCACACCCAACCCAAGTATGTTGGTTCAGAGACAAGATGAAGATTAGTGCTAAATTATCACATTTGGGGCTTCAGAGAGGGCTCCACAACCAAATAGGTGACCCTTGAGTAGCTGCATCCACTTCTTTTTTTAACACCTGCTTTGCTGCTACAGCCGTATGGTGTGGAGTGTAACTAGTGGCTTTTGGTGGATGATGCACGCTAACATAACAACACTTTGGGTTGGTTTTGATATATTGCAGACACTTCAGAGTTCACTTATGGAACATTAACTCAACTTTTAGATGACGATGTAGGCACAGTGTAGCATTTTTACAATATCCAGTAGGTTTTCAGCTAAAGTTCAACAGTCTCGCTTTAAACCAGTAAGTTGGAAATCTATCTTTTTAAAGAAATTAGTTCTGATGTTTTGATGAACGAAAATGCTTTAATGCAATTTACATTATTCTTTGAATTAGAGGAACCAGGTCTCAAAACTGACATCAGATAATTCAATCTTTATGCTCTTCTTTTGTTTTGCATAGGATTGGTTTTCCTGATTTCTTTCTGGGCTGCAGGATGCTATACTCCAGCAAAGAAGTCTAAATACTATTAATGTCAACAAACTTCTGTGGGTCATTTTCAACTACGGCCTTTTAGCTTATCATGAATTACAGCAGGAGACTTATTGCAGGAGACGGACATTGTCAGGTACAACACTCAGAGAAACAACTGAAGATACCATACTTCTTGTCTAATGCATTGGCTGGGGTTACTATCTCCTACCAACACACATCATCAACAGTTTTGGTGAAACAAGGACAATTCCTGAAGCGACCTAAAGACAAAGCAGTACTGAAGGAATGTCTTAGAAAGTACACGTGTTTCATACCAGAAGCTAAGGGGACCCATGTCATCTGCATTAGACGAGGGGAGCGTAATGGTGGTATCCTCAGTTGCTCACTTACGTGACGGAAACAGAGCCTTTAAGGTGTGAAATGAACACTCTTCTTCTGTTTTGCCAAGCGGGTGAGGAAAAGAAATAAAAACAAAACATGATGATGGCATTTCAATCATTTTCACTCTGACAATGGCAAGTTAGAACACAAGGAAAGAAATATCTGATGACATCTAGTCATATGTGAACAATTGCATTATTTCTTGAACATAAACATTACATCACATTATGTACAATTAATAAATAAATATTTCTGAAATGATTCTCTGATGGCAACATAGGTTAAGTGACCTTTGAGTGCTACTTTACAAGAAAGAAATTTACAAAACAAGGCGTTCAGGAGCAGATACAAAAAATGAAACTACACTAGACTTATCTTTATATAAAAGGTTCAAGAAGTCATGCATGTGGACTATAGAACATGCTAAGCTGCAGACTACATAAATCATCTTTTGGTACAACAAAACTATTGACTCTATTAGAAATGATTTGAGCTCAAACACAGAATATGTTCACAAAGCATCTGTTAGAATGCTGAATATGCATGTGCAAAAAGTGTTAACTGCTGCTTTTTTTTCCAGACATGACAGAACAAGTAAAAAGTCACAGGAGCCCTCCCACCCCATACCCCCCCCCCCACTTCATTTTACTCTCATTGAGAATGCTTAGTGAATACAGTATATCCATATATTATACAATGCACAACTTCCCCCCCTTTCACAGCAGTAAACATGAAAAATAAAAGTTCCTCTGTCAAGTATAAGTCTTAAATTTTATTTTTTCATAGATCTTAGACATCTATTTATTTACAGTGTAATGCTCCAAAGTCAGAAATCCCATAGTACTTCAGTGAGACACACATACACACACACACACGCACAGACACCAAACTAAAGGAGATAGAGGGAACTGAAAAGAGTAAATGGATGACAGAGGGCTAGTACTGCGAAGGAGCATGTACCCTTTTGGTCTTTATCCGTGCTGGAGTGTCCTGGGGGTATCGAGATGGTGAGTCAGTGAGAAAAACCTCTACATCATCAGGCACTTCTTCAAGAAAGTTGGAAGGAACGAGTCCCTTGTGTCCATTGAGCTCGCCCTAAGGAGAGCATAAGCACAGTGAGACTTCATCTGCTGTGTTTAACTTGAATTACACCCTGTACTCAGCAGTCCCCCCACTATTTTAAGAAGGCACTTACTAATGTCAATAAGTGCTGCAGAGGAGTTGACAACTCAGATGGGCTGCTGCTTTCCAGAGGGTTTCATCCAGCATGCATGCCCATTTGATTTTGTTCCTTCAACATCCTGACTAATACTTAAACAGGACTCTCCAATACTATATATATAATATATACTATACTATAATATATAATAATGACGCTCTACTTTTATGTTATAGTCACCAGTTTTCAACTTTATTATTGAAAAATCATATAAGCAGAGGCCTCTGTTGAAAAAAGGAGCATATCATAGCAAGATTAAATCTAAAGCGCTTGGTTGTGACGGTTAAAAACATTACATGGTGTTATAGTTGTGGAAGTCACTCATGATTAAACAAGAATTTAAAAGGGAATTATTTAAGCTGCAATTCTTCAATCAACATGTATAGCTGCAATTCATGAAGCATGGCCCAGGAATTTATGATCCCAGGATGCATTTCTCTCACCAAAATACACCTTTGGAGTTTTCTTTGTGTGTTTTTTCTTTGTTTTTTTTGTAAATTAAAGTGTTGATAAAGTGTTGACTTTATCTTTCTGACTGGTAGCAAAAGAGACAAATATCTGGTCGTACTATCAAACACTTCCAGTGTGGTTGAGGTAGACTTGCAACCTGCACTCTGGACACAGAGAATGCAAGCTCTTCTACTTTCAGATGCCAAAGTGTGGAGGGGGGGGGGGGGGGGGGGCAAAGCTCAAGAGATCAAAAGTCATATGGCTATAAGATGCAGGAATTAACTTTGTCAAATATGCCCCAGGCTACAGACTTTGTGGGCTCAAAAGCATAATGCCAAATCTCATGAGGGGGAACGGCATTTAGCCACAGGGCTCAGCCAGCAGACTTCATTTAGAGGACATACGGCAAGAGGGTTATCGCCTGGTGTCGCTCCTTCAAAGATAGAGTTACAGCCAGACATAACAGCAAAATAGATCTTTAACATGGACAAAACAGAGACACCTCTCTAGCAACCCCCGAAGGAACGTCCACATCAGAGCACTGCAACAGGAGTAGATTTTTAAATAGGGCTCTAATGGATGATGCTCTGGTTCTTTGTAACCACACTCATTGGCTGACTTTAAGTTATTTTATTCCACCTTACAGAAGCATGCAACTGCCATTATCGTGGACAGATCATCCGAGGCAGCAGTGCAATGCAGCCTGGTGCAGGGCTGAAGGCTGAACTGAAGCTCGAGATATTTGTAGTGTATGCCTTTGAACTCAACCCTTAAGACTGCCTGTGAGCCATATATGGATGTCCCCAAATATGGAGAAGATATCAAACCAGTATTTCAGCTTCATCCAAATCCAAGTATGGTTACCCGGTGATGTGGAACAAGCAGACAGAGGTTTCTTTAATGTGACAGTTAACTCAGAGATAACGTTAGGAAATATTTAAAGATGGTTCTTTATAGGTGTTGGCTCTGGGATTTAGAAATCCTGCAGACCATGATGGTTTTCAATCTAAACGAGCAGCACAGTGAGGTTCAGTGGTTAGCGTACTGTCCTGATACTAATGCAATAAGCAAGCCTATGTGCAGCATGTCCTTGACAGTAAGGGGAGCTGTTAGCCCATCTGTGTCTGGCTAGAGCTTGAAGGGCTCTGACTGGAGCTTGGCTAACCCCATCAACACCTTCACACTCGTAGTCAGTCCAGTTACCAGCAGAGACTTTGACCAACAGCTTCTTGTTGTCAGACTCAGTACAGTAACTACAGCTTTCAAGTCAATCCATTCTTTTACAACACACATGGACTTGTCAATGATAGCAGCCTACAATGTACTTTGTAGATGTTTTATATAAAAATCAGATTTAAGATTGGGTCCATCATTTCAGGAGAAGGCAAAGGGACGTTTCTCACTGCTGGCTAGAGTTCAATCTGTTTTTTTCAGCAGCAGCTAGCTTACTTCTTCAGCTAACAATAGTTTATTTAGTTACAAAAGTTCTCTACGGCTCTTTTTTATTTCCATTTGACTTACTTCCACAATCTTGCAAAGCAATTTAGAAAATGTACTTGATGGCTACATACACGATATCATGCTTTAAGTCTGGGGCTAAAGCAGGTTCTCCCAGCAGAATTCAGCACTTAAAGCATGTTGAACATGTGCAAAGACAGTTGTATAAGTACATCTTATAGCATAATAAAAGTGATGAAAAAAACATTTTTTATTGTAGATTGCATACATTTTACTCTAAACACTGGGTTTCAATATTTAGCATTACAGAAGGAGACTAAGAAAGAGGATATAAGCAAACCAATATGGTTGGAAAACATCAGTTTAAAGTGTAAAAGAATGAAGTCTGACAGGCATCATAAATAATGATCTTTTATTAAAAATATAATGGTGGATTTAAAAAGATTTGTTTTCACATTTAAAGATGAATTAAGCCAATAACAGCTGGGATAAAAAAAATAAAACAGATGTGGAAATAGACTTCAGACTTACATAGTAAAAGCCGTCTTCATCAATTTCACCAAAAACTGATATGACATCACCGGCACAGAAAGTCAGTTCAGCCTGTCAAAGAAGAAAAATCTTTTAGATACTTTTAGATCAGATGTGCTTTTCTTAGTGTTTAAAGTGATTCAAGTGAGCTGAAGACTTTTCAAAACATCACAGTAACTACTGGGGTTTCATGAGTTTGAAATGCTGTGCTTCCTTCTCCAAAACAATGTGATGCATCTTAAACACGAGTGTCAATTCAGTCTTGGCGGATGGACTGTTGCAACTGTAAATGCATCAAATGTTGGATCTTTGAAGACAGGATTGCATACACGTGGCACATCTGTCCTATGGGATTCTCCAAACCACACAAACCAAACATAGTGTACGTGGGTGACACAAAAGACCAAACCAAGGAGGGGAGGTGCTGACTCGGGCAATGCATGAGGGGCTGTGTCATGACCACCAGGGACAGAGGGCTGTGCCCCATCATCCAGGCCCGCCTCCTCGTTTGCAGTCCAACAAACGGGGGAGGAAACACACACAACCAGACAGTAGCGTACCCTTCTCACTCACCTCCTCATTCAGTCTGTTGCCCTCATACTGTGTCGGTGGCATTGCCAATGGAGAGGTGAGAGTACGTAAATGGGGGTAAGGGCAAAAGAAACAGCATGGGAGAGTAATTCAATCCTCTAGCTTACACAGTGCTAACTCTAAACGCTCACTCAACCTCACCTTTGACCTTAATGCCCTCAATCCCAAATAAAGGAATAATTCAACATAATCGTGTTCAGAGCTAGATAAGAAGACACTCTCTGCTTTAACTATCAAACCACAGCTTGAAGATGTTAGCTTAGCTGGACATGACCGCTGGAAGCCTGTCTGACTCTGAAGGGGTTAACAAAATCTGCCTACCAGCACCACGTATGTTCACTATTTATCACATTATATCTCATTTAAAGATTTTTTGACTTTTAACACATTTAAAGGGTCTATGTAGTGACTTTTAGAGAGCCGACTCAAACCAGAAAGTTGAACATGAGGATTACTGAATGTGCAATGTGCAAGAACAGTGCAAAATAAACATCAGTGTGAATAACAACTACACTTTACAGGCTCCAAGTCTTTCTGCTGCAAAAAGGTCTTCATCACAATTCCTCACTCTTCTGTTTCTCATTCCACAGCCACATGTCGGATAACCATACAGCGGCATCTTAATTGACCCCCATTTAGCTGAGGGTGATTGTTGGCGAGCTAGGGCTTCATCTGATGAGACACTTAAGTTTGTATTGTCTGCATTGGTACAAAGCTTAGCATCTGTATAAGAACTCTGACCGGCTTCTCTGAACAAGGACGGTGCTGGCTGTTATCTACTGAACTTTGTAAACTTAGTGTTGAGAAGTCCCTTGGCATCATTGTATTTCTTTAATTTGCAGTTGTTTGCATTGATTTCATGTTGCGTGTGTATGTTTGGATGCTAGTGAAAATGTAAAGTATTGTTTAGCCCTTCCCTAAAATGTTGTTTATACAAATAAGTTTTAGTACATAATAAACAAATGAGGTATAATGGGTTAAATAGTGAGCTCTAGAAGTTCTGGTAGGCTTGTTTTCTCTCATGACATGACTTACATAACAGAGAATCAACACTTTTAATCTTTAAATCAAACTTGGCAACACAATGAATAATTCCCAAACTAAACCATTAAAAAAATTGTGCTTCGGCACCTCAACAACATTTTGCACTTAAACAGTTTTTATGCATCTGTTTCTATGATGATGGTAACAGAGAATGATTAAGACAAAGTGAAAAGCTGGAGTTAGAAGAGGACAGTACCTCTACGTCAACATTAGGGGAGCTCTCTCGAGGGTCGTAGTCGTACAGTGCCACCATTCTACGTGTCGACATGGGATGTTGACGGCCACTCCGTCTATTTCTCTCTGTGAAGTGAAATAGTAAAACAAAAAACAAGGCTAATCAATGTGAATCATTTTAAAACTTGGATGCTGATGGATGTAATGATAATTGAGGATACGTGACAGCTATGCAGATCCGATCTTTGCAATCCGATCAACGACTTTCAATGTAATCTATACTGATGTTTATTGGGCGAAATGAGCTCAAAAGAGATTATTCGAAGATGACTAAGGATGAAGAAAAGTTTAAAAAGCAATAGATGAAGCAGAAGAGCAGCTAACTGGACACAGACCTCGCTTAGACTTTCTGGATCTGCGATTAATTGAGCGTCCATCTTTGAAACGGTCACAGTTCACTTCACAGGAAAGCAAAGAAACACAATCAAGTGTGGAGAGCAGAGAAAAGGAGAACATAGTAAAAGACAAGTCAGTACAGCAGTAAGTTGTCAAAACAGACATAGAGGATAAAAGGGTAAAAGAAAAGAAAAAGGAAGCATAGGCTGTAGAAAAACAGGGCTCTCACCTAACTTCTCCACAGGAGTGTTGAGTGGTAGGAAACCTTGTTTGAGGAGCTGGTCCATCATATCGTCATCCTCCGTCTGGATCTCAGAAACCATGTTACAGGGGATCAGACCCACTCTATCTCGGATCTCAGCCCTGTAGAAGCCATCTGTGTCTTTATTCCCAAACACCTAAAGGAAGAACAAAGTGTCAGGGAGAGACGGTGGTCATGCAGTAAGACCAAGGCAAAGATTACAATATTACACAACATTCTAAAGGATTTAACTAAACACAAGGCATTCGACATCTAGCTAGTTATGAGACACTCTGAATAGTGTCTTAGAGCCAATTCATCACCTTGATGATCTGGCCCTCCTTGAATGGCAGCTCCTCATCCGCCGCGTCAGGGTTGGGAGACATGGACATGGGGTCGTAATCAAACAGAGCCACAAACACTCGGGTCATCTCGTCTGGCTCCGACTCATCATAGTAATCGAGGGAACGCCGTCCCCGCCCGTGCCTGCGCCCGCCATAGCCGTCTGAAACATAGAGGAGGCCTCTGCTGCTACTACCAGCCTTATACAGCCACGCTGGCTGTAGAGGCAATGAGAGCAGAAGATGTCTCTCTGTTAGAGCTGACAGGGGAGAGGGCGATGAGATGCATGTGTGAAAAAAGAGCCGGATTGAATGCCGTAATTTTACTTCATGGTTTTAATGTCTTTTGGTTTAAAATTTCTGTTGTGTTCAAGCACTAAAATCAAAGAATGCTTTCACAATAAAGACCCATTGCAATGGTAGCACAGCAAGGTTCTTCGTTCACACATCTCTGTTTGCTGGCGGAACAGTCACTGAACATCATAGATCACAGTACATCACAGCACGGACAGGAAACACAGGTCAAGCAGTTCGTTGGGGTGCAGGGGAAACTGAATGACTGTGCACACCAGGAGAACACAAGTAACATTTCACTACTGTTCATTGCTGTTTCACTGCCTTATCTCACAGAGGCTGATCAACACATGCATGTTTTCCTGGGATTAGACATGATTAGGAGAGCATTCCACCATCAAATGCAGGTGTGCTGTCATGCTTAAAGGCCACATCTGGAAATAATGTGCAGCGAAAAAAAGGGCAAAGGCACGCTCCCAGGGGAGATAACACATCATATGCCCCAGCAGTTCCTGGCAACGCAGATATCAGGGACAGTAAGGGGGAAGGGATGAACCTGATATCAGTTCCCCATGCTTCTTATGGATCACCATGTTAAATGTTTCAATGGCAGGTTGTAAGTCTGGATAATGGCTCAAAAATAATGCAACCAATACTAACCTAAGCAACTTGGATATGCTTTTTCAAATATGCAAAATGTGCTCCACTGGTGTAAAATGTGTTTTGATGGCAGCAAAGTAAATGATAGTGCAACCAAGTGATACCAACAAGGCAAGAATGCAACAACCCATCCACTAATGTGTCTTTCCTTCTCGCTGTGCTGTAAACGGGTCATGCAAAATAACATCGAAATGGGCTGCTGACTCATCAAGGCGGGAGGAGAAGGAAAGGAGGAGATGGTGGAGAAGCTACTGGAGAGGATGTTGGGTTAATGTGGTGGGAGCGTGGTCTGGTTATTGAGGGTGAATGGGGAGATTGAGTGAGTTGGGGTTTCTTGGGATTTAGGGTGTAGGAGAACATACAGGGAAGGGGTTTTCATTCTCCAGCAACGGGGAAAGTGGCCAGTCTTTTCTTCCCCAGTCAGCTTTATTCAGCTAAGCTAAGCTAAACAATGAAGCTAACTGTCCAGCACAGTACAAAGGCCACCATGATATCACTGCATTTTTGGTCTTTTTTTTCTGACCTTGTCAAGTTGAATTGTCACCTTGGAGAGAAGCTGCACCACATACCATATTGATCCTCTGAGGACAAAGACCGCCATATCCTGCGCCGAGCTACACTGCCATAGTAAACATCCTCCTTGACGGGTGAGAGGTTCCCCTCACTCCCCTCACTGTTACTGTCCATGGTGATCTCTACAGAAGACACCAATCACAACGTTACGGTCAGAGATCCCCCACACACACACTCTGGTCTACCCCATGGCCCATTCATTCATGCTGAGACAGTAGGATGATGAGGTTGCCCTGAGGTGGGAAGGTGTACAAGGCAACAGGTTTCACTCTGGAGTCACTGGGTGTAAAACAGCAATGCTTGCACTGTTGCATGGAGGTCAAATTGGGTAGTCATGTTAACATGTTAAGCCACAGTAAACACAGGCATAGGGATGGATAGGATCTGGGAGAACTTTCCTGCAAAACTGCGTGTGAACATCTGGCGATTCCAGCTGGTGAGGATGGAGAGCTAAAGGGTGTGCAAACACCCCACAAAATAAGGGTTTACGTGGTTGTTTAAGCTCTATGGGAGAGATGTACAGCTCAGCTCACATGGGGAAGGGACACACATGGTATAAATAGCACAAACATCAGTGGCCCTGCAGGTGGGATGAGGCGTCTCCTCATGTGGTGACCTCACTAACCAATGGATGGGATGGGCCGTTGCTGAGAGGGGGTGCCGATGTGTACCAGCCTCCTCCCTGAGTGTTCCAGACGATCAGCGTTTCCATGTGATGATGAGTTCCCAATGATCTTTAGAGTAAAAAAACAACATATTAGGGGTTAGAAATACAAAACACCTCATAGTTATTAAATATATAAACTCATTCAAATATCCCACATTCCTGTTAAAACAATTAAAAACCCTTAAGAGCAAATGTTGGCTTTCATTTGTCCTTACGGAGGCAAAATAATAGTAAAAAAAAAAAAATCCACAAACGATAAAAGAAATCCAACGAACCATAAATAAAATTAACCCCAACATAACAACATGGACTGGGAGCTAGGAAGGGTCAGATGTTTAGCTAAAGACCATTTTTTTGGTTTGTTTTGATCTGTGCATGTCAGCCCCTGGATGAGAACAGAAGTATGAAGTGAAAAAATACATGAGATAAAAACAAAGTGTTAAAGTAGAGCTGTGTTTGACTAAGAATGGATAACTGTGATTTGATGAGCTCAGCCATAGCCTCAGCCATGACAACAACCTAAACATTTGATGAATAAAAAAATAATGAGGAACAAGTGATTGTTTGCTGAAGTGAAAAACACATGAGTTGATGTGAATGAGTTGAAAACTAAATGGATCACTGCAGGCGGCAAAAGTTGTGATCATTATTTCAAATTTGAAGCAATGAGAGGCACAAATTGCTGAAATAAAGCTCCAAGCACAAGGCGCAGTGTCAGCGCTGAAGCTCCAGAGGCCGACACATGGAGAGCAACAAATGAGGCTGTTAGCTGGCAGAGGGGGAAGGGGAAGAAGATACGGGGGCAGCAGTCCCCATGAACTGCACAGACACTGCTAATCTTTGAAATGAAACCTTCCCCTCAAAGACATGAGAAGTCAAAACTTTGTTAAATGGCCTTTAGGTGATTAAAAGTTATACTTCAAAATCCACCTGACAATCTGAATACAAACGACATAATTCACACCAAATAAAACATCAATGACACAAACCATGAACATGGGATAACAAAATGGCAAATAAAGAGAGGGGGGGGGGGGGGGGTCATAAAGAAAAACAGACAACATTAAAACGGCTGCAGCTTGCTGATGAAATTTACAGCAGAAAGTCTGAATCACACACCAGCGGCTGGTCCCGGTTGAGCCTGGACAAAGAGTGGGCCCTAGCCTCCCTGTGGGGGCTGTAATAGACCCTGTCCAGCATGTGTAGCCGGCCGTCGCTCAGGGCCCCTTCCCTGGAGTAGTTACAGTCTCGGCCAGGCCCAAAGTGATCCCTGTTCCTTAAGTCCCCCGTGTGGACCGATTTGGCTGAAGTCCCTGGAAACTCCTCCTCCACACTGCACTGTCGAGTCAGAGTTCTTTTACGGCCCATAGCCAGAGCACGCCTTTCTACTGGGCCTTCACAGTGGATGACCTGCACCGGCCCCCGCATGGTGCTTCCATGAGCATAATACCCTCGATGACTCCGGCCCAGAGAGCCTTCTTCCTCACTGCCACAGTCTAGACCGCTGTCAGGACTCTTGGTGCTCTGGCGGTTGGGTCTTCCCAAGCTGCGGTCGTCTGAATTGTAGTAGTAGTAGCGGCTGTCAGTGAAGCGAGGGGAGGAGCGCTGGCGCTGCAGGTAGCGGGAGTTCTTCCTGGGGGTGATGTTGTTGTTCTGGGGGTACATCCTCCTCTGAGAGTGCGGGGTCCCCGGCCTCCCGCCGTCTTCAAAGCAAAGGCGTTGGCCCATGCCATCCACACAGTCCGACTCCTCCTCAGCCACCTCCGGGATGCTGTGGAGACGTTTGCTGCGCAGCGACTTCTGCTTCACCACCTCTCTCTGGAGGTCCCAGCAGTCTCTTTCCTCGGCTAAGTCCTGACGCTTGTAATAAGCCTTCAGTCATGATCAGGTTCCACAGTTTAACAGTTCAGTTACAGTCAGTATTATTCACAAGGTTCAGTTTAGATTTTGCGAAGGGGGTTGAAACGTTTTTTGAAGGTTTTAGAACAGGCAGGAAACAACACAGTGTGTGAATAGAACAAATGGGGGGAAAAGACAAAATAAAGACAGAATTAGTTATTTGTGGCAATGTAGTAAAACATGCAGTCTCATTCCGTGAGGAGGAAATGGCATGCTCTGAACAGGAATCTGTGAAGGCTCAAGTATGGAGTGAAGACTGACAAACAGGGTGGTCATGGAGGTCAAATGTGGAGAAGGGAATTTCCCAGACGAGAAATTAGAAATATCTAAATAAAAAAGTTGCAGGCATCGTTTGAGGGATTAATGAAAAGAATTGTGAGGATGAAAAGAATTTAAAAAAAAAATGTGAAGGAATCTGCTGCACATACATACTACATAAGAACACTTGTTAAACATTTCAAATGTAGCAAGGCATACACAACTTCTTTCTTTGAGCTCACAAATACAACAGCAGAAAAAACTTCTCACTTAACAATGTCAAATTCAAATGTATCAATCTTTACATATTTTTAAAAGAATAATGTTTTCACAGACAATAAGGGGCATGGATAATATGCACAGTGATTTACATACAGATGGTGAAGAGAAACACTGGATGCAGCATTGGTGTATTTGAAGTGTGAATACACCAATAAATAGCCCTTATTAACAGCACAATACTGAACAGGTAACTGGATAAAAGCAGCAATAATCAAACTTAAGTTTCAGTTATTTTGTATTGATTTTCCTATATCTAATATTTCCTATACATAATATTACAATTGCTATCACCCTCATGGTGCTTTTCTCTAGTGGTGGCAGATCTTGGCTTAATGTCCACACATCCCCGTCGACACACTGAATGAAGACAGGATCAGGTACAAACAATGTGAACGTCTACATCGACGATAGAAAAATTAAGCATTAAGACGTGACAGACATAAACAAAAGTGAATATTTCCATTTAAGTACTCACTTAAATGAGATTCCCATATGCACTTCATATGCCATGACCCTTTGATACAGTAGAGTGAATAAAATCTTTGATTTTAATGTCTCATAATAACACCTATAAGATTTACTTTCAATCCAAATGCAATTCATACCATAAAATATATTGTGCTTTCAGATAACAACCCTCCCCTATTGCATGCTGTATAGCTATGTACACACAGCCCCCTCACATGAGCTCAGCCTGGTATGAGTAAAGCAGTGCTGCAGGGGCAGGGTGAAGGAGCAGGGACGCTGATTCAACTAATGTGAGGCAGGGGGAGCTCAGCCAGACAAAGCTACGACAGGCCTGGTTGTAGAGCAAGGCCCTCCCTCCATGAATGTCTGTCCTCCCCCACGACCACTACGAGGTGAATGTGTGCAGTATGTACCTTAAGAGTGTTGTGGGAGTTGATACTGCGCCTGCGCCCCTCCTCCAGCTGCATCTCGGAGTAAAGATCTTCCTCATCCTCCTCCATGATGTCAGACAGGTCAGAGCCCCGGCTGCTCTCTGTGTGGTACTCCTCACTGTGGCTGTAGTGAGGGTAATGGTGCTGAGGGAGGACAGGACAGAGGGAACAGAGATTTATACTACCAAGGTCAAGAAGCAGAATCTGCCAAGACCCACAAGGGATGTGTTGTGGTGTTTTGCAGTACAACAATAGAGTAGAACAATAGAAGGAAGTTGATTGAGAAAAGTATAGCTTTTGCAGCAACCTGCAAGACGAAGTGACAGAAGTTATCTGTATGAAATTAAAAGAAACAATGTAATGTAAAGAGATTACAGTGTTAGTTTTATTCTTTGTACTGTGGCATCTTTGAGTCAGTGATGAATTCCACAGCACTGAGTAGCACTAATAATAATAGACTGTGGTGCTAACAACGTTTTGTGAATTATTAAGGCACGTCATGTTTACTAAACAAGATGTACTGAAATGATGCCTTTTTTTCCCTCCAAAATTAATTTTGTCTAGATTTGTTAACTGTTGGTCGACACTTCTTTCTTTTCATTCGAAGTGTTTTTAGCAATGAAGTGAGCCAGATTTTATTTAAACAAACATTTCTATTTTTAATGCCCAACAAATGCAGCAATACACGGTTGCTGTATGTTCTTCATGGAAATAAGTTACAAACAGTCACTGATCAAAACAGCGTGACTCATTGTGTTTTCAATAAAGTACCTGTCTGCCCAGCTCTGAGCCTCTGAGGAATTCATCGACTGAGGCTCCTCTCCTTCTTGCATGAGGAGAATCATAGCCGTCCTCCTCCTCATCAGAGTTGACTGGATGTATGGCGTTACCTCGATCACTGAAGATGTTCCTTTTCTCAACCTGAAAAGAGATATGTTTGACATTCAGGTGGACAAGTGTTCCAAATAACTAGTCTTAAAATGACTTTTTTGTGCGTGTGAACCTGATGTAAAAATTCAGTTGAGATATTTAAATTCACTATTTACCTTCAATGGTGATGCCCTGTTTGTGACTCAGACCTGTTTTAATCTTTCTTGAAGCTGCAGGGGTTGTGATTAGCTTCATGTCTCTCGTCACACTGTATTTTAATATGTACAGTAAGGCATGTGCAATATGGGCAATGTAGTGTATTTGTAGTTCATGGTTCTGATTAGTATGTTATACCTTGTTAATGTGCCATATTCAAGTAAGGACTAATGCACACAAGGGATCAATCAAAGTATATTGTGTCACACAATACAATATTGATTTAAAAAAAGAAAGAAAGCTGGTTTTCAGGAACAAGTGAAGTTAGCTTTTCATACTGACAAACATTGAGCATAATTACAAATCTGATTTAAAAAAGGGAAAATTCCCACTCACCCGGTTACCCTCTGCAAACACTCTCTGGGCAGCTTCCCTGGCCATGGCCTTGGCGATGGTGTTGGGGATGGGGACTCCCTGAGGCTGAGGCAGGATCCTCTGAGGAGAGGGTGATCGCCGTGGCTGGAAGTGCGGCGGCTCCAGGTTGGGTCCACGCATTGGAGGCAGCGGAGAGGGGGAACGCTCCCAGTGCGGGGCTGACCGTAAACCCACCTCATGCTCTTTGGTTTCTGACTCTCTGGCACTTACTAACGGTTTGGACTTGGACATGGGGTGGCGCTGGAAATGAGTCTGCGGATGAGGAGGGGGACGGCGGCCAGGCTGAGTGTGCGGCTGTGCGTGGGGCAGCGTGTGGGGTTGGGTTTGAGGCAGAGGCTGAACCTGTGGCTGAGGGTGATTTGGTGGGTATGTTGAGGGGTAAGGAGGGTGGGTTTGTGAGTGTACTGGTTGAGACTGCGAGTGGGGAATAGGGTGACTTGTGGTCCTCCGGGAGAGGTGTGGAGAGCCCAAGAGATTGTGCGGGATTATGGCCACGGGCGAGTCCTGGGACTCTCCTTGTGTTGACAACGTCCTTACAATGATTTCCCGGGCCTCCAGACACTGAATCCTGTTTAACTCCACGCTCACATAGTCTGCTGTGGGGTATAAGACCTCTGCTATCTGCATTCACAGAGAACCAAAGAGTCTTTACAACAGGGCAGTTCAAAAAACCATCGTACACAACTTCCTACTTTATAAGCATTATGCAAACATTTTCTTTGGCGAAAGAGAAATATCTATTTGAAAAAAGAAACTACTTAAAAACTATTATGGATAGACAGATATGAGTTCTTAGTATTACAAATAATAAGCCAGATAAAGTTTTAACTTTTCTACCCAGGGGGGTACTCCATCAATGTAGCTAAAGATAGCCTGAAAAAGCCAATTTAGCCTTAATACGTTCCATTAAAAGAAATCCAGCCTCATCCAATGAAGGCTGACTAAAGACACGTACTCAAGGTCTATAAGAAGCCCAAATGTATGGATGACAGGAACATGATCTTATGTATCACAGAGAGGTGAAAGCTGAACAAACACTGCTGATGGAGCTGAACAAAGAGTTTAAAGATGTTATTACTAAAAACTACTGCAGTCATTAATAAGGCCAGGGAGATGGCATGGCAGAACATTTCAGACAAACTAAATGCATAAGTTATGGAAGTGTTTGCAAGTGTGTTTTAAAATAGTGTTATGAAGCTATCTCAGCAGACCATAGGCCCTATAGCAACAAATAAAAATACATTCTAAAAACGTCTTGGACAGTGTTAGAATAGAATATATAACTTATGTTCATGTATAAACTGGCTCTTTACCATGTATGAATTGGCTGATGCCTGACTGTATTTCATCTTTTTATCTTTCCACGTTATTAATAACGGGATCATTCTTGACCATCTTTTTCCTTTCTTTCTTTTCATTCATCTTTTTTTTCAAACTGAACAAATATTTTGCTACTTTATTGAAACGTAAATCTCCCCTGAGCATTAAAAAAATCTTCTACAGTTTATGTGTATGTAAGTAGCCTTTAATGAAATGTCAATTTTATTGTGAAAATGTTTCTTAAAATGTATAAATATGGACAACTGTAGCCACAAAAAAAAGAAAACGACACAGACCACTTCACCTGAGGAGCTCACACCAGGAGAGGAGCTGGCACTGAGCTTTACTTAAGGATGGCCCCAGGTTAAAGGAAAAGAAGGGGGGGGGGGGGGAGATATCTACAGAAATGATTCCCCCAGGTGCCCGGGATAAATATGTCGAAGGTATCGTCCACTACTTTCCCTCCAGCCAATGAGAGAGGGTCCTTGTGGAATGTGAATAATAAATGTCATAAGGATATTTTTACATTATTTTATTTTCTCAGTTGTGGTTGCATTTGATGTGTGACTTTTATAATGTAAAGATATTTTGTAATATTATTTATTGGTTGATTTTGGAGAAAATTAAAATGTGAGATGTTTCAGGATTTAAAAAAAATAAATACATGACATGAGTGACGTGAGGGCAGAAATTCACCTGACGGAACGGTCTTTTGAGAGTCTGTTTCTACCACACAGTTGCTAACAGCTTGACTGTTAACCTGGTCCGGAGCAGACTTGTTCACCAGCATTAGTTACTATGGTAACTCAGCGTGGATTCATATAAGTGATGGAACTGAACTCCCACGTAAACCATCCAGACTTAATCCTGCTTCATGGAATACCCCCCTGGCTTGTTCACAATCATATCGCTGTCACATAAACACAACAAAAGCAACAGCTGCTAGTGGTAAAAAAAAGATGTCAAAGTGACAACACGGAGCCTGTAACACCTATGTTTTCTGAGGTTATGTCATAAGAAATACTTGTCCCTGGAGGCATCAGCAGTATGTCATTTCTCCAGGAGATGGCAATAAAGCGTTACTCAAAGAAGTCCCCTCTAAGGGAGGCAAAAGCTTCCTGTTCAAAGATATGTACTTCAAGACAATTTCTAGTTGATCTGACATTAGGGTACCTTTTGTCCCTTTGTGCACACGGCGTAGCCAATCACACAGGCGCCGTTGGAGGTTCCTGAAGACGTCAGAGGCGGCGGCTTCCATCTGACCTGTAGGATCCCGGGCGACTGACCAACCTGGACCTGCACCTCTTGGGGAGGGAGAGGAGGCCCTGGCGAACACAATACACTCACTGGATAAGGAGAGAAAAGAAGGCTGAACAGTGGTTCAAGCATTTCTTTCTAATTGATGAAAGCATACTTTGCTGACATTGGCACTATGGACTTCTTGCATTCAATAACCAGTTCACAGTGGTATACAATAAGAATATTCTTATTCTAGGGAAACTGTATTGTAGATCACATGTTTATAGTACTGTTATAGTACAGGCTAAACATGTGATGAAACAGAGATTAAAATCAAAAATCAAAATGATTCTAAAATAATTTCTAATTCAGTCAAATGAACCGCTGACATGTTGTAAACTTAGCAAGTGGCATGTAAACATAGACTTAATTAAAAGCATTGTTTTGCATGCATTATTTTTATTTCCAGGTTGACTTTGTGATGTTTTGTTCAACTGTGTGCAGGTTCAGACTGTGAATCCTTAGACTAATTCATATGTGTATCAAGCTCATGCGTTACATTGAGTTTGCCAACATTCAGCCATCAGTGTACGTAGAAAATGTCCTGTTGCCAAATTCTCCCTGACAAGATTTTTCAGAGCATGAAAAAAAAAACAGTTTGCTATTTTCACAATCTGTAAGTGCTGCTTGCATACTAAACAACATAGCCATCTGTGCAGTGCTGCTAACCCCAGCCCAGCCCCCCCCCCCCCCCCCTCAGCCCCACCCGCAGTCACACAGAAAGGGAGAGGGAGCAGTTTCAGTCAGCGTGCAGCTATATGTGTGTGTCCAAGAATCCACAGCAATGCAACCTTAATCACATTTCCACGCTGACTGTCAGCAGACTAAACACACAGTGTTGAAACAGCGGTGTTGGCTGTTAAGACGTTTAATTTCCTCTTGTCATCTCTAAACTTTGCCCGTCATAAACAAGCTCCTCTGAGAACTGGCATTAGTCTTTAAATTCATGTTCTAGCAGAGCCACTTTTACTAATACTGGACCCAAAAACAGACACTGATTTCTAAGAAGGTAATCAGATGATACCCCATCTGACAACATCAGACAACATAATAAACATGTTTAATGGCTAATAACTAATAAGGTCACTTGTTCAAAGAACACGGGCTGGATGCTAAAGGCTAATAAAGGGCATCAGGAGTCTGATTGTGTTATTGACATCAGTTGTCTGCCATACTGAGACTTTTTCAGACACCTCTAATCAACATGTTCAACAGATAGAGAATTTAATGAACTCTCAGTTAGCTTGACAGCTGCCAACAGAATATGTCAATTCAAACATTAGCTATACTCCCTGTGCGTCCTCCCTTTAATCCCTCTCTTTTATCCATCACTCGACCTTTCAATCTCTCAAGTATGCCTTTAATATCTCTGTTTGTCTCTTATTATCTGAACTGCTTGCACATCATTCCGGTACTTTAACAATGGATTTTTTAATCTACTGTGTAATGTGTATGAGTGACAGAACAGAAGATTCCCGTGATTAATCAAATGTTTCAGTATCAGTTGAAGGCTTAATCCCCAAAACCCTTTTTCATAAGGGAGTTGCCCAAATTGAACCTTTGAAAGGCTTTGCTCCTTTTCTCCCATGCCCCGATTGACTTCAGTTACTGATGTGACACAATAACTCTGTCCAGCCCAGAACTATAGTTCCACAGCATCCTAAAGAGAGATTCTGGATCTGATAGGACATATTCACAATGGGATGCATCAATAGACGATAAGAAATAGCAATGGACTGAAACTCCCCCTCTATCTGCCCCTCTTCCTCTCCCTTTCTCTCCTTGCAGAGGAAAGCCATAGAAGGGTTGTAAATCTCAGAGGAGGAGAAATGCCTGAGTTTTTCTCTTCACTAAATATTGAACAGGGTAAACTACTGGTCAAATCATTCAGTAATACCTCTTGTTGTTTATAAGCTTTTGTTTCTTGATAGTAAGGATGTCAGCATTAAATGGTTAATCACGATTAATTAAGGTCTGAAATTAATGCATACATCTTTACATCACAATTAATTGCATGATAGGAGGATAAGCCTCCACAGTGTTTATCTTTAGTCACAGTGATGGAAAAGAAGGACACTGCTGCATCTTTAAATGTCTCATTTGACTTGACTCCCAGACAGTTCAGTAGAAGAGTGAACAGTAATATCCACCTCCAGACATCAAACATTTCAATTTTTTACATTTCCTTTTGGTTATTTTCATTTAGTCTTTGATCCGTAATGAGTTCCTTTTTCCGTGGTTAAGTTCAAGTCGTACCCTTCAATCTAGCAGAAGGTTCTTAATCCGTTTCAAAATAAAAGGCAGCTTCCTCAAATAGCAAGTAAAGCACGCTCAGATTTAGACAGGAGACATTTTCAAAATAAAAGCCTTACAATTTTAATTATTAAATGCGGAGTAATGGATTTTCGGACATGAGTTTAATGGAGACTTACTATTGGAAAAAAGCAAGAAATCACTTACGATTAAAAATCGTAATCGTTTGACTGTTCTACTAGATACTTTGGTCCAACTAACTACTGTACGATACTGAGAATTAAATGTGATAACTGTCATGAAAATGCCATTTATATAGCATGTTGCCATACAGCTATTGTTCAATGAACAATGTTGGTAATGAACTTCTGAAGAGATCATTTGTTGGACCTGTAGAAAACATTTAGAATAATGTTTTTTTTATCTAGCTTTGCCTATGATTATGTGTATTTCTGCTTTCTTCTATAGACTAATGCTAAAGTGAAATGTCATGTATCATCATGTTCATTACTGCTAATTGGACAATAGTGCTGAAGAAATGTGACCTTGTATGTGACAGCATCCCAGTTGGATTGATTTGACACACCTGAAGACAAACTAAGAAGTTATAGACCCATAAATATAAAACAAAGGAAGAAATGCAACTTGAGATTGCCCCAAAATGTGGCCCCCATCTTCTCGGATCCCAGATCAACTGGGATCTGTCTGCTTCATTTTCTCTTCTTTTCTGTCTTCCTCTCTATTAATATTTTTGTAACTTTTCTGTATTGTTTTAGCTCTTTTGCTTTTGTGATTTAGATTTTTGTTTTTGAGACACCTTCTTCACTGCTCAAACAACTTCCTTTGTGTTATTTTCCATGTTTTTGAACTTCTCCATGAAATGAAATCAGCCAGCAAAGCAAGTCTGTTGATCTTTTGCACCTGAAGATATCTCAGTTTTTATACATCAAAGGTTTTATCGTATGGCCAAATGGTGTGATCAACTTGAGACAACTTTAAAGAAGACTTTTTAGCTTTTGACTTCAGCTTCTAAAAGACCAGCATCTGGAGCAGTACCTGCACTCCTGCCTTTGAACGACAGATATAAAGTTAAACTCCAGAGTCTGCCATGTGGACACTTTTGGCCAGCTGTGATTCCTTCCTCCTCGTCTCCATCACCTGGCTCTACATGCTGGAGAGCTGGTGTTGCCAGGTCGGAGCCAAAGCGGCTCACCTGACCCCCGCTGGAGAAAGTTCCTCTGTGAGACAACCCCACATCAAGTAGACCTCAAACATGAAATGATGAGGTCAGAGTCGAAGTGGGATAGTGCTTTAAATTCTCTGAAACTCAAAATGTGTAGGACTTAGATTACATTAGTAGATTACATTAGTTAGTTAACCTCTAATCAACCTAAAATCATTTCCTTCATCGTTATAACCCAGCCAATTCTGTTTCTTATTCGTTCATTTTATATTATCTGTTCATGTGCTTATTTACTCCCTCATTTATTCATTCATTTGTAATCATTTTAATTTAAAAAAAAGGTATTATTTATCGCCAAAGTCGTTGTCTGTTTATTCTTTTTCAGAGCAGAAATTGCTGGTCCACACATCAGAACTTGAAACACAGAAATTGAGATTGATTATAAACAGATGTTCGTTTGTTTCCTTTCCTCCTTAAAGGAGGTGGAGCCTCTTACCGATGCAAAATTATGAATCATCGATTTGTAAAACAAACTTTGGTAAAAAGTAAGGTCATGAATGATTCATTCATCTGATCAACTTTTAATAGCTACAGCAGTTTTAATCTACATGTTTAATCATGATAAATTAAAGTTACATTAAATTAAAGTCTTAAAGAAGCAATAATATGGCACACAATTGGTTAACTAAACACTGACTACAAATTTGCACCCAAATAAAATCATTCTCATAAATGGCTGTGGAGAGAAGAACTCCTATTAAATTCTCACTTAAAAGATTTTCCCGCAGCATGACAGTCAGGCTGTGAGACTCGAGTTAGCGCTGGCAACAGCCTCAGCATCAACAAGCCTCAAGGGAGAAGAAATCCTAGAGATCTACGCTCAGTATTTACACTAATTTGGCTTCAAGAGCCTCTTGTTTCCAGGGTTATGTAGCTTAATTCAAGGAAGGATTTGTCAACCTTATCTCATTGCACTCCCTTTTTTTTTTTGTGCTGCCATGCCATGTTTCTTATCACAGCAATACACAAATAAATCCTTGAGGGCACTCTAAAAGTGGCGGGGGGGAAATGAAAATGGCTAAGATGTTTGTCAGGTTTGTAAAAGTTAAGGGCTTTAAGCCTGAGGCCGTGTAAATCCAAAAGGACTGTGTTGGATGTAAATGATCAGATGGCTTCCGTTGTGTCATATCTGATGACTTTGAACCTAAACAGAATACTAGAACACAAAGAAAGAAATCCGATTGGGTTAATAGAAGTCTAAATGTCTTTATCATGAATTCACCTCAGAGCTTTGAACCAAAGTTAGTTATTAGTATCTGGAAAAGCATTCAGCATCTATCTGACATTCTGATCAACCTTGTTTCCAGCCAAAGCCGGCTGGAAAATTCTCTGTTAACCTCAGTGTGCACTACTAGCCCAGCACCAAATAGAAACAGACAGAGTTATGCACTAGCCAGTTAGAGAGAGCGGATCATTTTGCAGCTGGAGAGCAAACATTTTTCTGAGGTAGTAAAGAGAGCTTCATGGAGCCTGAACACATTGAATAAAGCCTTACACTTGCCAGTTGACCAAACACATCACATTACCTTTAATCAGTGGTAATATTGATTTTATATCTGCTGAATGTTTCAAATAGCAACTACAAAATTCCCCTTAACAGCTTTAGACTTCTGTTAAATAGCCAAATAATGCCATGTTAAGATTTAAGTTGAAGCACAACTAAAATAGACCTACAAGACTAAAAGCCCCGAGCCACATTAAGGACTTAATGAGAATGTCCTGAGGTAGTCCGCTGCTCTGAGCCTATTTCTGACATTCTGATGCTTAAATGCTCAGAATAAAAATGCTCATGTATAGCATGTTTAAATTTGACCATATTCCCTAATCCCAGGTTAGTAGCTTGCTTAAATTGTGATTAAAAAGTCTTATTTATTTATTTTGACAGAGACAGTGTACCGCCTATTAATTGTACCAGAGTTAACTATAAGATAATTTACATCTGTTTTCCCTGGATTACACAAAGTCAACTCTTAACCAAATGACAAAACTAGATAAAGAGCAAAGAGTGCTGTGTACATATTATTTTATGGAAAAATGTCACTCTTGACCAATGTAGTATATAGACAAACCAACAGTATAAACTACCATCTCTTCACCCATGTCAGCATTGCTAAAACTTGTACCAGTGGGTCTAGCCGAGGCTATAATATAGTACAACTATTAACCACATACTAAAACACAGTCACTGCTGGGCTGTGGTTAACTGATAAAAGTTCTGATGTGAATAATGTTTTTGAGACTGACCTGCATGCTGAGTGCAGAACTCCACAGATATTTCCCTCTTGTCCCTTTGATCCATTGGAAGCTGCCAAGGCACCTGATGCGGCTGCGCCACAACCTTCACCTTGTAAACGGTCATGGGCTTCAGGTTGAAGAACTTGTACTTATAGCCTCCCGCTTTGACCATGTCATATTCTGCACCGTTCAGAAAGATGGTGTGGCTGTAGTTGCTGTTGCTGGGCATCCAAGAAAGCTCAGCAGAGACCTGCGTTATGCAGTCCACTCGCAGGTAGTAAGGTGCCACCACCACATCCTTTCCCACGAGCAGAGTGCACCGCAGCTCGTCTGACGGGCCTCGGTCGGTGATGCTCTGCACTGTGATACGGTAAGTGTTGGTGACCAGATTGAGCTTTTCAATTAGAGACTTTGTCCTGCCCCCGTAGGGGACACTCATGCGCAACTCCTTATCCACCATGACATTGTAGCCACTGATGGTGCCCCAGCCAGGTGGGACTACAGGAGCATCCCAGCCAATAATCACACTCTTTGCAAGTTGTTTAATCAGGTTGATGCGGCGGGGATAAGGCACAATGTCTTCACCAATTTCGTCAATGTTGACATCAAAGGTTCCTGTCCCGTTGCTGGAGGAGCCCAGGAGGTCTATGCCCAAGCTGCTGGTGCTGAGACAGTCTAGTTTACTGTCACACAGCAGGCTGCTTATGCCTGTTCCTTTGCCCACCCCATGTCTCTGTGTCCCCAGGCTACTGTGGTTGAGGTAACCAGGTTCTTTAGATACTGTGTCCCTTGGTTGGGCAGACGTTTTCTCCTCATCTTTGATAAAGTCCACAAAATTGGATGGGACCAGTCCCCGCTGTCCATCCAGCAGCTCTCCTGAGAAACAAGGAGGAGACAGTAGGTATTGTGGTGGTAATGAGTACAAATGTTTAAGGAATATTAAAGCAGGTCGGACCTTCATAAAAGCCATCCTCATCCATCGTTCCGTAAACATAGAGGTACTTTCCTGCCACCAGGGGGAGCTCAGCCTCAGGATGCTCATTAGGCCCATCATAAGGATTGTAACTAAAGCAAAAAACAATAATCAAAAAATTAACCATCAAACTGTATCATACATTTCTAAACTCCACTTCTTCAGAGCCTTTTATGTCAAACATTATAACTCTCTAATAGGTATTATTTGCTGAGTGCTGCAGCTGAGTGCAAATATGAAGTTTGTTACTTTTTATGATTGATTTGTTTTTTCTACAAATTGTAGACAGCTGAGGTTAGTGTGGGTTGGACGCATTGGCCATATTCATATTTGTGCTCTGAGGATTCCAATTATTTTTTGTGCTGACAGGTAATTTTCCATAGAGATAGAAACACTGAATCATCTTTAAGACCACAGCCCGAAGCTCTGTGAGAGAAAGCAAAGAGTCTCAGCAATATGTGTCCATGAATTTTCTAGCCAGTTAACTCCACTATAAAGAGGAATGTAACATCTTCTGAATGAAAGGAGAAAGTATCAAAAGTACAGTAGATAATAAAGGAACTATGTGTTGTGTGTACACATACATTGCGTATACTAACCTGTACCTGGCGATGCACAGACGAACTTTCCCTGTGAACCTTAGTTTGGACCTGGTCGTTGAGCCGAGCTCCTTGTCCATCTACAGATGCAAAATAATCTTGGTTCTCACATCCAATGTTACTCTTTCACCTTTCACCTCATATTTATTTCATAACCAGAGAGACATGCTTTATGATAAGCTGAAGTGTTGTTTGTTTTTGATGGAGGCAGAAGTTGATTAACTCATTAAAGGGAAACCCCTTTAATTGTTAGAATGGACATGCATAGATGCTCAGAGATCAAATGTAAATGCACAAATACTGATTCTTCGAATCAAGGTGCTCGTTCTTTGCATTACAATGAACATCTGCGATCTGCAAATCAATTCAATTATTTCAATAAAAGTACTATTACAATGATTTGTCTTTTGTTTCATGTTTTTATCTCCTGTGTACACACATTTGGATCAATTTTAAAAAGTCAGCCTGCACGAGTCTAACATGAAGGCCTGAATTTTGTTTCCGTTTTCTGTTGTACAGGAGCAACATTTAGTCCCAGCACTGCACTGTACTGTTCTGTACTGTCAGAACTGAGGGACGTCAAAGTGTTATAGAAGTGACAGAGCTCACTGAGTGCTGTCTTTGAGACACTCTTAACTATGTGTCACTTGGCTGCAGAGGTTGAACTAGCTGACTACAGGATTTGATTTGGGTCAACAGGACAGACTAAAGCATCTACATTAAAGGGGATTTGTCCTTAATGCAGCCTCACATTGTCACATTGTTTAGGCTTCCTAAATAGTCTTCCATTCTGCAGCTGTATGATTATTAAACATGTTTTTTAAAGATGACATGCAAAGTGTAAAATGGGAAACTGGGCAAGATAGCATAAGAAATATGGGATGAAAACAGACAAGAACAGTTACATCAGAGAGGAAAGCCCGTGCTGGGCTGCGGGTTCGACTCCGAGTGAGGAATGTTGGCTTGACTGAGAGGAGCTCCGGCTTGTCTCCACTGATCTGGAGCGGCCGAATGAACTCAGATATCAAAGATCTGCTTGTCGGAGCCTCATTGCCTGCGGAACACAAACAACTTCTCTCATCAGACCCTCACAGTTCAATAACAGAACTTATATCAAGCCTGTGACACAAAATAGTGCAAAAACTACACACTGTCAAAATCCATTTGAAAAAAGAATATACAGATTGATAAGCCATCTACACTACAAGATCTACCCTAATCCTTTGAAGAGTACAAAATTGTTGGATTAAATAATATCTCTAATAATTGATGTCCTCGGGGAGGTTTTTAAATGGAAACCTAAAAAAAATGTTTTTTTAGTTTCAAGTGGTCTGTCAAATTTATACAAATTAATTAAAGACGTCAAAGCAAGTGTTGATGATACCTGCTCCTGTAATAAGTGAGGAGTTAAATATAGAATCAGTAACTATGTCCTAAGTTATGGGCTTTTCCATTACAAAAGAAGTTATATTCTCAGATAGCTGGCAGTTTATGTACAAGCAGTACTGTATATGTACACAATAAGCCCTGCTATGTACCAATGCAAATAACTTGATGTTTCAGCCTATGCATAGAAATGTGGCCATGCACTTCTGGCTGCGATGAGCCCAGGAGGAAGGCCCCGTTTTGAATGTTGTGTTTAAAGTCTGCAACGAACAATACTAATGACTCTACCTTTAAAAGGTGACAGACAAACTGAAGACAAGATTGAATAGCTAGCCGATATTTCTCACTGTGACTATTTCAGTTTCTTTTTGCAGCAGATTACATCAGAATCCTATCACATTTCTTATTCAGCTGTGATTTCTTTCACCTCATTGTAACTCTTCTTAAATGTAAACTCAGTTAACTCAGTTAAACTCAGTTATTCATCAACTCCAGTCACCACATTGATTCACGGTGTTTGGAAAACGTACTGCATTTAAATTGATATCACTGTTTTATTTGCTTGCAATACTCGTGCTCAGTTTATACATAAGACCAACCTGCCCTTACAGAGTTTCAACATATTTTTGAAGCAATCAGCATCTAAAAGATCTTCCACATACCTTTTCCTATGGGGGCAGCCAGTCCATTGAGGAGCTGGGACAGGGATTTGTTGGGTGACCCCGGGGATTCACATAAAGTCAACGGTTCTGTGCTGAGGATATCAAACTTCCCGGCTTGGAGCCGGAACTTCTCCAGCTCCTTTGACAGGAGGTTGAACTGCTCACTCTGATTCCGACATTTTTCCTCCAGCTCTCGTACTTTGGCCTGATGGTGGTGAGGAAGAGTGTCATTGAGAGGGGATTGAGAGACAGAGAGACAGACAGAGAAAGAGGGAGAGAGAGAGAGAGAGAGAGGCGGATAGACAAGGACAAGGAAGGAAAGGATGGGAAACAAGGAAAACAACAGAAGACAAAAATAAGGAAACTAGTAGATGAAAGACAGAACAGACTGCACACAGAAAGACTTCAGTGTAAACACAGATTTACTTTCTACACAATAGAACATGGGCAGAGATCTACTGAAGAACTTAAAACATGAGGACCAGTCAGTTCAGAGAAAACTTCCTATAATTAGTTTTTAACTTCCACTGACAGCACACTATTCAAATCACATGCAAAACAACAGTTAATGCAAAACACATGGAAATTAAAAGTAACTTGCCTCTAGGCAGTTTGCATTACCAAACTGCACAGTGTCCGAGAGGATTAGTTTGATTTTATTTTATATTTCCTGTTATTGTCAAGTAATCCTTCGAAAAGACCAAAGCCAAAAATAATTGTATTCTACCCAAGTATTGTCTGTGTCAGAGCCGGATATATCTTATTCCTCTGTGCCATAGAGCTCCATTGTTGTCAACAAACTATTAAAAACACATCAATGAGCCAAACTGGGGGAGCATGTTTTGTCATCATGATGAAATTCGGCACTGGAGTGTATTTTTAAGACAATTACTTTAACATTGTCCTGCTGATTTAAAAACTCTCCTGAGCACCAAATGTGTGCTCAACCGCAGTAGAGAATAGTCCCTGCTTATGCAGCATTGGATTTGTTTTCTTGTGATGTATGTTACAAACAAAAGTGCCCAGCTGCTTCTATTACAAATAGAAAAATAATTTATGCCAAAACAGAACATCTGTTACTTCTTGATTAGGAATGAATCGACCTGAAGTCTTTAGTTGAAGCGGCCTCTTTGAGGGATTAGTTGTCAAATCATGAAAATAATAAATAACACCAGTTATTTATTATAATGCCAGGGAGACTTTATTACACATCCTAAAATTGATTCACTTAACATAGTCATTTGAGCAGGCATAATGGAAATTCCAGGTGCTAGAGCATGATTTTTGATCACGTTGACGGACAGTAAAAAAAATCAATATTATACCGACGACAATGGCACTGAAGCCACCATGGAATTTACTAGCACTGCCCAACACAGAACAAAGCCCCCCTGTAGGTCCAGTACATCCTTTGCTGTTCTGTCAAGACTATGGGTCTATTTCATGCACACAGGTTGTTGCTCAATACAACATGCTGTTAGAAGAAAGATGCCAGAAAGAATGAGTCTATTTGTGTTAAAAAAACATCCTAAATACAGAGCTACTTTTTCCAAAGCATCATACGGTTCTCAGCTGTATCACAAACACATGCTGGATAACACAATGCATTGCTACAATAAAACAGGCTCACATCCATCACTGCTCAGCGATGTGAACTCCTGATAAAAATACACTTTTATACTGTTTCACATAATAAAGATCATATTGACATTACATATATTTAATGAAAAAATTCAAAGATAGATTCAAAATGTACATCTATCCAAATGCCTCTGTGTCAAAATTAATTTATTGACTGTCTTTTTTTGCAGTCTGATATGTAGTTTGTTTACATCAGAACAAGCACTATAAACAGGTGTTTGGGTTTATGAAGTTAAATTTGCTTGCCTCAGTATGTTGATGGGTTTTCATTATGTGGAACTGGGGTGCGTCAGTGAAGCCCCAGGCATTCGTCTTTGATTTAAGGCGATCCATATTCTGAATCTTGATTTTACGTCTGGAATCTTTTCATCAATTGTTAAACGAATGTTGCTGAATTCTTCTCTATGATCAAGTTAGAAAGACCCCCACTTTATGCTGTCAGTCAAGTTCCAGACTTTTGAACTTCTGAGTTTGCTTTGATGGAAATGTGAAACAGAGCTGAGTGGGTAGCAAAGCCCCAAGAAATGATGCAGCCCTGAATAATTCTGAAAACCAAAAAGCATAGATCACACATCAGATTAGTTCTGAACTGATGAACTGATGATGCTTAGTGTTACCTTTTGCTTTTTGAGTACCATTTGTACACCATGTAAAAACTGAAAGGCCTAAGAGAATATCAAGAAAATAAATGAAAACAATTCTGAAATACCTGCATGCTGTCCAAGTGGTTCTGTATAAGCATAAACACACACCCATTCAGTAAAAAGAGATGTAGGAAAGAAATAAAGCACGATTACACATGTGATCACTCATACACATCGTACAGGCACAAAAACAGTTTGTATCTACTTTAACACTGTCTGTCTGACATGTTGTTGTTTACAACTGGCTCTAGTTCAAGCGTTTACTTTACAAGTCTTTTTACATCACATTTACAATATAAATAAAGCTATCTACTGTCTACACTCAGCCAATACTCACATCCTGAAACACAGGGACTAAAAAGCATAATGGATCTAGTTTTACAAAGGTCTGCCCCAGAGCTCAATGTCCCCCTATCCTGCAGCTCCACAGAGAAACACACCGTCAAGCCAGTGTCAGACACTCACCTCTAACAGATGGACAGCACCTTCATGTTCCTTTTTTGCTTCAACCTGAGCCTGGAAAACAAAGTGCACTGTTTCAGTTTAATTTCATTTACATTTCAGATTTACTTTCAAACATCAATGAAAGGCCTTTATAAACTAAAGTGGGAACAGCTTTTCAGTCTCCGTTTCTTCTGGGTTGAAAAGAAAGCAAGCATCCCTGTCCACCCTACATGAGGACATGATACAGGATTACAATTATAGTCAGCAACAGTGCCTTGATTTCAGCCCAAATCAGTTGTTACTTAACCACAACCAGCTTAGGTTACTAAGGCTTGTCTGACACCATTTTTATTTTCTTATAGTGTCTTACATAAGTATTTACCCTCCTTGAACCTCTCTATATGTTGTCATTTGACAATTGCAAAATAAATGTATTTTATTGGGGTTGTGTGAAATGGATCAACACAAAATAGACCATTATTTGAAGTGAGTGGGAGCATTTTGTGGTATTTACAAGTATTTTACAACAAATATATGAAAATCTTTGAACCCATAAACTTAATTGAATTTGATTAGTTTCACTTGTGCATCCATCCAATGGAGTGTGTGCATTTGTCAGTGAAACAGAAAAACGATAATTAGTAATTATTAATAATAATTTTGAATTCCAGGTTGTAACATTGTAAATGTGAACATTTACAAGGAGGTTGAATATTTATGAAAAGGCACTCTATAATGTTTAAAATTAAATGCATCCAAAATTAATTGGGAAAGCATTAATTAGATATTATACGACACTTACCTATGAAGAGCACTTGTCTCTGAGCACTTAACCAGGGGTCATTAACTACCAGTCCAAGAGCCAGAAATTGGCCCACAAATATAAAAAAAAAACAGAATTTTGGCTTTACTCATCGTATTGATTGTTTCGTTTTGTTGGGCTGAAACTTCTAAATTCCACCTTAAGGACAGTTAAAATTAAAATTTAGGGAAATACCGATCTCCCCTTTCTGGTCAAGGGTTATACAGGACGCTCAATCACTCCCATGACAGGGCAACCAGCAAACACTTAAGGTAGTTACAGATGCAAATCTATACGCTAAATGAAGCTAAGATAGCTGGCTGTTGGTTGTTGCCTTTTGCCTTGAACACAAATGTAGCAGGCGCTCTCAATCTTCTCATCTAACTATCTTTCACTTTTACATGAACACCTTTAGAAATAACCATCAGCCTTCTACACCAACCTCACTCCCACACAGTTCTTTCTACACTGAAAAGAAAGGTTGACCTGGAGCATGGACACTTTCAAAAGGAATGCAGGAGTAAAAGCTGCCTTTCTGCAGTCATACAAGGTATTCAAGTGGCCACAACCTGACCACTGGCCCCACAGGTGGTTTCAGTTTGAGGTACCAATGTAAACTGTCCTGACAATGTCACATATCTCATACTCCAACTGAATTAAGACAAGTCTGTACTTGAAATATTTCTGCAAAAATGTTTTTTTGGTTTTTTTTCCACTTCTGATGGTCCTTTTGAACAATTAACAATTTATCAGGGTCAAAGTTTGAATGGTTATTGAAGCTAAATCTAGAAAAATAGCCTAGATTGAGGCTCTCTGCAAACAGATATCATTTTGAACCAATTAAAATGATGTTCCATACATAACAAATAGATGTGACGAGTATATTCAAAGGGAATAAGGGTTTGGGTTTATAGAAGCATTGAACTGTATAGAAACGTAGCATTATACACGCAATTTTTCTTTTGGGAACTAGAAACATCTGTTGAGTGTTCCACATGAATATGAGAGCATCTGTGGGCTTCACAATTTCATAAATCTACTTTGCAGGCAATTAATTTGTGAGAATGCAGAGAGCAGCCTGTGTCTGAGGGAAGATAAGGCAGTAATGAGCTTCTGTTAATGAGAGAAAAAAGCTGAGAAGTCGGCCTGTGAAAGGCTGACTGTGAAGTTAGAGCAACACTGCAGCAACAGCAACACTGGGGGTACACACATTGTTTCAAGAGCAGGCATTGGTGACAATTCCTATCACGTTCACACTATCAGCAATCTCAGCCATAGCAGGGCTTGCTTTGACATTACAGTCAGCGCCAGTGCAAAGACTTGGATGCCCGACCATCAAATGGCCTGGGCCAGCATTTTTGTTTAAAGCAAGCCTCGAAAAAGTGTCATATCTGCTCTTGGCTTTGAATGTTTGATTTGCTTCCCTCGTAACAAACACGAGGAGTGCTCCTGAACTGTTCAACTCTCAGGGTATGGAGAGTGATGGACAGCTGAAGGATGGGGTAAAGTGGATGCACTGTGAGAGCGGTGGTGAAAATAATGAGAGAGGTGAGTGCTAAAGCTGCCAGAGAGCCCAATACTTTCATCTGCTCTCTATAATACTGTTTTTTTAAACAGATATATTTATTATTATTAGACTTTATTAATATCTACAAGAGGAAATCCAATTTACAAACATGATCCTAAGGACATGCACTAACAGAGAGATGTCAGAGTGAGGGGGCTGCACAGCGAGTGCTCTGTCTTGCTCAAGGGCACCTCTCCAGGTACCAGACCAATTTCCAGACTTGGTATGTACCAGGACTTGAACCAATGTCCCTCCGGTTCCTAACCCAAGTCCCTACAGTCTGAGCTACTGCCACACAGTAGACTTTCACCTTTGTTTGACTTTTTGTATCGCAGCGCTGCTCGACAAAAAGCTTTTTGACCCATGACACAGGCGTAGGCTGGGAAAACAAGAAATTCAGAAAAGAAGTTCCCCTTACCTTCTGAAGAAGGTCAATCTCCTGCTGCTTTGCATTGAGTACAGCCAAGGCCTGTTCATGCTCCAACTCTAGCTGCTGCCTCCGCTCCGCAGCCTCGCGCATATGCTGTCCGCAGGGGGTGCAGGGGTGGAGAGCCAGGGTGAGGATTGTGGAAGGGGAGCATAGAGACGGCTGCTGTTAGTGGAACTAAAATCTAACGGCAATGAGCCAACACAAAATGCATCTCCAGTCTTCTCCTCCACACTCAGAAAAACAACACAGGTGTAACATGTGCACACATATCACACATAAAGAGGCTGGTTAACAGTGTACTGACCTTTAAACCATTAAAAACAAGTAACATAAACTGTGCTTTAATAAATGCCACGTGAGAACAGTTTATGCAGAATGATCTGCAGGACAGAGATCAGATCAAATGCTGCACCAAAGTGCTTATGGATGAGGACTTGAGATGCTTTGCTGTGTGAACAAAAAGACCAACATCAATCCACATTCAGGTTTGCTGCCCCCTTTAGGTAACACAATACCTGTTAGAAGTCAGGTTAGTGAGCCTGTTTGAAAGGCCAACCTCAGCCACGTCATCTTTGCATGATCAATACAGGGTTTATCGTTACATGAAGGGTGAGCAAACTCGGGGGCGTGCTCACTTGTCTGTGGTCATCCATAAAAACAAAAGAAGCCATCCAATAACAGGGACTGAATGCTAGGCTCTTCATCACACAATATACCCCTGTCATCCAGTCACATTACTGCTCCCGCTATATGTGAATATTTATCAGGTGGAAAAAAGCAAATGACATTTTCATGCCAGTAAAAATTGAGGTCTAAGATAGGTAATGTCATCAAACTTGACATTATCATCATGAAGAGTGACTCAGTCTCTCTATCCCCTCTTCTTCCTCCTCCTGTTATCATTAAGGCAAACTCTGTGTCCTGCCTCATGCAAAAAAAATCACATTCCTCATCACAGTGCTGTGGTCGTTTAGCCAGGTGACCATTCATATGTCTGGTAGCAGCCCACGCGTAAAGGGAGAGATAAGCACAGCCACTGAGGTGGACAGACAGCATTCCGAATGGGAATAAATAGGGCTGCTCCCTAACAGGCGGACATGGCAGTGATACCTTGTAAATCTAGCAGGGGCAGAGGGGGCAGGGAAGGAGGGACAGGGGCAGGTCAGGTAGGGTAGGACAACATGAAAGGGCACAACAGGATAAGAAAAGAGGGCAGACTGCTCCAAGCTTCTACTCTTTCACAGCTCCTGGTCAGACCTCCCAACACGACACTGGAAGGCAACAGACATGTCAGGGACATTAGACAGTAAAGCTGAAGAGAACCAGATGGAGGCAGTGTAGCACACAGGTAGGAGAAAAGGGGGAACTGGCAAAGGGTCAGGCTGCATAAAAACCCCTGAATTAGGATCCCAGCATTGACGGACTACAAGAACTAGAAATGCAAGCAGCACTGACAGGTAGTTGAGTCAGTTCTGGCCTTAGAGCTGGTTTCCTCACCTTGAGCACCTGCTCTAGGTTCTCCAGTTTGTCTTGGAGCTGGTTCTTCTCCCACAGGGCTAAATCTCTCTCCTGCGTCACAGCACCAAGGGTTTCTTTGAGATGGGCATACTCAGACTTCACCTGTGCAGGGAATAAGCAGGGAGCAAAGAGACTGAGAGTGCAGCTGTTCTGCAGTTTATTTCCTCTGGCAAAATTAGGCCATTTTAATCTGCTTCTTTATTTACGCTTGGTCAGGTGCTAAGCCTTTTTTTTTTTAGGAATACTGCACATCTTTCTTTGTATAAATGAGCAAGGTCATTTCCCATCTCCCCTACAAGAGAGGTAACTCTTTCAAGTTACCAGGCCTCTCTGATGTCTCCACCCTGTTTTTCAGAAGTAACAATGGTCAGATACAATGTTCAAATGATTCAAATGATGGATATTGTGCACATTTGCCGACCTTTTACTTTATAGCAAGCTGTTCGATTTTGTGTTGGAGCAGGCTAAGTGCAGGTGTCCTGCTGGTTTTTGCTGCATTGAGAAATTAAATGTATCCCGCAGAGTTGTAAACACACTCATTGTTTCTCATCACAATGCGCTGTGTGTATCCTGGAGATTTACCAAACATTCTGAAAGCATTTACGCCTTTTAAAAATAACAACAACATCTTCAATCCTGTTTTGTTTTACTTCATGCTATGTGAACTATTCTCAGAGCATTTCACTGCTATATCGCTACTCTTCTGATATTAGTGCTACCTGACTATCATCAGCTGAATAGTGTGAAGCTATTCACGAAACTGTGTAGCTTGTGTGCTCCTATGTAAGCTCAGAATACAAACTAAATTAAGGCTGTGTTAAAAACATCACAGCTAGTTGTCAAAAACATCACGGGACATCTTGAGGATCAAAATCAGTGCCACAATGAACTAAGGCTAAGACTATTACAGCTTTACAATGAAAGACAGAGTGCAGACTACAATAACAATGTAATCACTGCATTGGTAATCGATAAAGTATAATTACAATCACAAGCACAGTTATTAGTGCAACTGATTCACACAAAGGAACTTAATTGTGAGTGTTGCACAGTTAGCTCCTAAAAATCGAACAAGATTTGAATTTACCCATCATTTATCCAACTCTTACCAACCATATTATCTTAAAGACAGATCTTAATATAGACAGATCATTTGTATTATTCTAATTCAACAAATAATGAAGCCAGAAGAGTTTCAAAGCTTTTCATAAAGTCACCCAGTTCATTGTTTGCCACTTTCCTTTTTTTGTTGTAAAGAAAGAAACACTGTTCAGTACAATTGACTAATTGACACCAGGTTGTCTCCTCACTTATTAAATCAGTATCGACAAAAACTGGACATCTTTTGACACTTTTGTTCATTTTTAGCACAAAGATGTGAAAATAAGAGATATTTATTTGAATGCCAGCCAAAGCATACCAAAACATTTTAATAAAGGACGAGGGAGCTGACTGGTTTAAACGATAAAGATTTAAAATATTATGATGATGGAAATGTTACATAATTCACTGACTGAGATGGTTATTACCAGAACATAAATACATTATTCATGTGTCATTGTTAGCCAAGCACCAAGTTTTTGAAGCAATTGCGCATTATATTAACATTGTACACCAATTCAACACCAGTAAATGAATGCTAAATGAATAAATATTTGGAAAGAAATTAACTTTGTTCATAATCTTTCTTCCATGGACCAGCTGTATTGCTACTTAGGAGGCATTTTTTTAATCAGTTTTTTAAATGCCCCTCATCGGCTGCAAAACGTCTGGTTCCTGCAGCCGTAATGTGGCGTAGCCCTTTCCTCAGAGCAGCCATCAATGACTAATGATTCCTGGAGGAGGGCGTTTCAGCAAACATCAGCAAAGCGAAACACAAACAGACTTCAGTGAGTATGTCTATGAACAAGCTGCCTCCGCACAGCCAAACAATCCACATGGATAGAAGCGACTGTCAGACCTTATGTAGACAGATCGAACAAAACTATATTGGATTTAGCAGAAGCAGGTCAATAGTCTATTATGGGCAGAGGGGGGGGTGCAGTTTTCTGCCCCTCCCAGTTCATTCAGAGACGATAGGGATCAGAACATGGGGGTGTTAGCGAGGGCTGATATCCGCACTACCCTGCAGAGTGCTGCTCTCATATCCCTCAGCGTGATAACAGTTCAGGAGTCCTCAGCACAGCTGCTCCAAGAGCCACCTCCACCCTGATAAGATGTCAATAACTAGCAGCTTTCTTCCCCCCAACAACCTGCCAATCAGCACCTTTAGGAAATACTCTCTGTCCATAGAGAGAAACCAGGTGCTCTGAGTTTACTGATCTACTCCGACTTTGTGTTATCCACTCTGAAGGCCTTTGAGATCTTCAACCCTAAAAGTACTCAACTCAAAAGTAAGGTGAGGGAGTTTTAATATTTGGAAAATTGTTACTTTCAGTTCTACGCTGTATATTGGGAAAAAGGCTCCATTAATCCAGCATCCTAAAGCAAATTATAGTTTGACCCAGAAATCCATCTTGTAGAGTGTAACTGTAAGGGCCAGAGCGGCTGTGACCTATGAAGAACACGGTTGACACTGTGGCAAGACCACAAATGTCATGTTTGCATCGCACTCATCAGCATTCATGCAACATTGAAGCCACTGTCTTTACCTTTCTGTTTTGTCCTTAAGTTAAAGAAAATCTATGTATTTAACTGCATGTCAACCTACTGTCAGTGCAGTGAGAAGTTTTGCTTTGATATGTGTGAGTCTAACTGATTCTTTTTCTGTCAAAAATTGCATATGATTGACACTTACATTACTCATAATTCAACACTAAACCTAACAGAGATTGCTATTTTTAAAAAAAAATCCTCTGCCATAGGAACAGAACCTTTAATGTGACAATATCTTTGTTTATCATTGGTAGTCTTCATTTTAATAAAAGCTGCTGTTTAAAGCCTTGTTGTTTAACTCAACATTTACAGGCATTATTAACATAGTCAATGTAAACAGAAGGAGAGCTCCTCCTCCTCTTGGTTCTGAAGCTTGTACATTTAAAGCCCCTGGAAAACCAAATCCGCAAAAAGCTTCTAACTGTGTTATGTTTGATCTTATGTACTGAAAAAATGAACTCTCCGACAGTATTAGAAGCTACCTTCCAACCTTTTTTGGGGGTTTTTGAACATTTTCTGACACAATAAATGTCAAACCAATAATAAAAACACACACAAATGTTCCGCCCAATCAGGTGCAACAGAACTACCATGCTCCTACAACTCAGCCTCCATGCTTGTATGTGAGCTGTTCGTGGCTGCACATCCACAGGTGAGGATGACAGCTTGTCATGCAGTGGATTTGGAGAAACAGTGGGCTGTGTTTTGGTAAGACGTGTCAGAGTCATTCTTAAGAAAACTAACATATGCTAGGCTAATTACACCCACTACTGTTTAACCAGTTTTGTCCGGAAAGCTCCGGGCTTTGCTAAACGGCTTTGTCTTTCACCAGCAGTGGTGTCCTGAAAACCAGCGTCCCAGTGTCTGCTAACAGCAAGCCAACAGTTCGGCTACAGTCGGGCTATGCACCACCACTGGTCAATAAATGTCTTGAATTTAAGTTTCTATTCAAACAAAACTTAACAGTATATCACTGTTTTCTTTATGTGGGTTAACAAAAAAAGGAATACCACTTACTGGGTAATTGAAGATTGCTAGGAAAGAGGCAATAAACTGAATATTCAAGATTAATAAAACGGTGTCCTGGTTACAGTAAGCCAAATCAACTCCCTTAATAAAATCTTGAATATCAGGAGGAAATATCCAACAGTCTGGGATATGAAGGAGGTAGTAAAAATGCTAAGGAATGTCTGAATGGTTCTTCTCTGTGATTTTGAAGTTTTTGTTTTAGTGATTTTTCAATTTTCAATTTTAATATTTCCTTTTTTTCCCCTCTGTTATGATGCTTTTGATGTGTGAATCACTTTGAATTGTCTTGCTGTTGAAATGTGCCGTATAAATAAACATGCCTTGCCTTGCATTATTTGGAGGATTTTGACATTACGAGGGAGAAAATATGAAAATATAAGTGGCAATGTTAGCTCTCTTAGCGTGGCTAGGAATCCCATGATGCTTAAGTGCAAAACAAGCTGTCTTTGAAGAGGTTTTCTAACAGTTATGTCGATTTTTGCCCGTTTGAAACTGCTGAGACATGAGCTTGGACAGAACTGGTGTGGACATCTGCACAAGTGCAGAGGTAGTCTGAATGAAAATGATGACCTTATATGAGAAGTTAAGGGATCACAAAAGTTAGAACAAATAGTCCCAAGGTCAACATGAATGTCTTTACCAGTTCATAGCAATCCAATAGTTGTTGAGTTGTTTATTTCTAAGCTTTAGGGCCCAAAAGAAAAACAAGGGGCTCACCAAAGTTATCAGATTGTATCCACAGAGCACCATGAATGACCGTTACGTAATGAACTTCATTGGTACAATATAATCTACGAAATAAAATAAATGTCATTACGGCAGTCAGGGGATCACTACGTGTTGTTCTCACCAGACAAATCTAAGGGTAAAATCATTTCATAATACAGTCATAAAAGCAAAATCCTAGGCTTTTTTTGCTGCTTACCTTCTCATGGTCAGATCCTTTGTGGCTATTGTTAAAGAACTGGAGGTTCAAGTGCTTATTGTCCTGAAGGAAATCTTGAAGCTCATTCTCCTAAGCAAAAGAAGCAGAAAGAAAACAGTGTTCAGAACCCAAGAAGTCATGTTTATAACAAAGCCCAGCACCCAAACAGAGCGTGTTGTTAGTGATAGCCCATGCATTATTCATCTGAGCAGTCTGCTGGACGTTCTCCTGCATGTTTTAGAAAGCATGACTTAAATTCTAGCCACTGCAGTGGAACAATAATGTAGCCAGAATATGAACTTTTATGTAAACATTTTAGAGGAGATGTAATAAGACACCATGTGAAATGTTTTCTTCACTGTTCACTCTGAGTGGATCTAAATCAAGTAAGTGTTTTGATTGTCTCTCAAAAACACACACACACACACACACACACACACACACACA